TCTTCTCTTCTTCTTTTGAACACTCTTTCTTCCATCTTCTCCTTTCTTTTGGTTTATTTTCAAATTAGTGTAGGAGTGATTTACAACTTAGTATTAGAGCAAGTTCGTACCTTCTTTGGTTTCTTTTAGGCCTATACACAGTGTATGGTGAACTGATTGGCTAATTGATTGACAGCATATACAGCGTTGTTGAGAAGATTTTGGAGAAGAATACAGTCTTTGTTTGAGGCCCAAGACAGGTTCTTGGAAAGTTTCCCGAAAACTCTCTCCAAGTGGAGAATTTGAACTAAGGGGTCTTGACACAGTTTGAAGCTTGTGCTTGGGGCTAGAAGGGAAGTTTCTTGACCAATATTAAGGTTGATCTAGGTTGTAGGATTATGGAGTTCCTGGTAGGAGCGGCTAGGCTTTCTCTCTTCCTCTTGGGTAGGCATGTTCTGTGAAACCCTAGTTTTAGGTGATTGAAGAGTAGATTGTTTTTAGGACAATGGTTCTTGATTAGTAACACCCTATTTTTATTTTCTTTTGTTTCTACTTAGCTAATGGAGGAAAGTGGAGGTGAGCCAATACAACCTACAAACTCTAGGTTTGGCCAGGGAGGGTCAGTGAAAACTCTATTTGGGGCAATAACTGCAATGAAGTTAAACGAAACCAATTATCTAGCATGGTCTTAATCAATTAAGATCTATGTCTACAGTAAAGGGAAATAGAGGTACATCACTAGGAATAAGAAGCAACCCAAGGAGGATGACCCTGCCTATGAAAGGTGGATGTAGGAAAACTATGATTATAGGCTGGTAAGTAAATTTCATGCAACCTTATATCAATCAGCACTACCTGTGAATGGACACTGCAAAGGAGGTGTGTGATAGTGTTACATAGACTTGTTCTAAAAAATTGAATGTTGTTGGGGCCTACAAACTAAAGAATGATGTGAATAATCTAAGATAGAAGGAGAAGCCCTCAGTTGCTTCTTAGTGCTGAAATCCCTTTGGCAAGAAATTGATCTAATGAAGACTATTGTGTGTGCACTAAAGATGCTAAGACTCATAAGGAGTTAATAGAGAGGAATCAGTTCTTTGAGTCCCGTACTAGACACAACCTTGAATATGATAATCAAACAAAACATTCTAGCAAAGGATGAGATGACCCTATCTCAGACTTATGCTATGGTTAGTGGTGAGGAGAGTAGGAAATAGGTCTAGATTACAGAATCTGGATAGTAGAATGATATTGAGGAGAGTAGAATGAGCTGACCACATTCTAGCAAAGGGGCACCATTGAGAAGAAAGATGTATTGTGTGAGTACTGTAAGAAGCCCAAGCACATGAAGGATGCCTGTTGGAAGCAACATCCAGAGCTCTTACCTCCTTGATTCAAGAACACTAATAATGGTATGAAGAATGGGAGTGGAAAAGGTGCCAATGCTAATGTAGCCACTTCTTCTGAGTTTAAGAAAGGGTCCAGGGATGAGAAGTCTATGGGGGAGGGAATAGCTTGCAACCACTAGAGTATGAGAAGTATGGCTGCATCATCGGCCACTTAGAATCTATTGCTAGAGCTCCTACTCCTTCAGGCAACAACTCTTTTTCAGTATGCCTACTCATGTATTCGTGCCACTACAAATCATGTTTCTATCTTAGGTAATCATAGGATCTCTTGGATAATAGATTCTCGTGCTTTTGACCACATGACTAGTATGTCCCATTTATTTATAACCTATCGATTTTTATGTAGTAGAGACAAAATTTCCCTTTTCCACTCAGATAATGCTAATGAATATTTTGAGTAAGACCTTACAACTTGGGGTTGTCTATCAAAGTTCACAAAATGGAATAGTGGAGAGGAAAAATCACCATGTTGTAGAAGCAGCCAAGAGTATCCTTTTTGCCTCTCATGTTTCTATTAAATTTTGGGGTGATGTCATTATGACAGCTACCTATCTCATTTAACCGCATGCCTTCTTGAGTTTTGGGGTTCAAATCTCCCATTGGTGCTCTTTCCTAATGCTGATGTTTTTCCATTCCACCGTGTGTCTTTGGTTGTACCTATTATGTTTACATTCGTAGCTCTCATAGACAAATTTGAATCCAAAGCTCGGAGGTGTATTTTCTTTGGTTATGCCTCCACATAGAAGGATTATTGTTGTTTCGATCTCATTAGTGGCACCTGGTTTGTTTCTATGGATGTTGCTTTTGCCAAGTTTCTTTTTACTGTCATTCTTTTGAGGGAAAGAGTTCCATTGAATTGCTTTCTTCTTCACTTCCTTTGTCAGTTCCTATTGAGTCTTGCATTGAATCGTTTGTGGTTTCATCTGATCCAGTTGGATCTTGTCCTCTTAGCTCATCTATTCCTACTGCTCATCCCCCAGTTTTTACTAATCCTATTGTTTAGAGGTGGTACTAAAGGCAAAGGCTAAGGTATGAACAAATTTTTCCCGCATTCTGAGTTGAGTCTCAGGCACTTCCAACTTTTGAAGAGAGGATAGGTCCTTCACCACTTGCCCTAGGATGGAAGGATGCTATGAGGACTAAGATAGAGGCGCTTCATAAGAACAATACTTGGAATATTGTAGATAGGACAATTATGTATCATGTTGATAGGACAATTGAGAGGTATAAGGCTCACTTAGTTGCCAAGGGTTATACATAGGCAATGGGATAGATTATATGGAGACTTTCCCATCAGTGGAAAATATCACTTCTGTGCGGGTTCTTTTACCTTTGGTAGTGAATTATAATTGGGCCTTATATCAGTTTGATGTGAAGAATGCCTCTTGAATGGTGATTTGACTGAAGAGGTGTATATGCCACTTCGTCTAGGCATGTACAGTGAGGAGATGAAAGGCAAGGTGCGTAAACTGAAGAAATCACTCTATGGCCTCAAACAATATCCACGAGGATGATTTGATAGATTTTGGGCTGTCCTTGAACAGTTTAGTTATACTCAGACAAAGTCAAATTATACCCTCTTTATGAAGAGGAAAGAGTTTAGGGTCACCTTCCTCATTGTGTATGTTGATGATATCAAGGTTCAAAATATCGATACGCCTGATACGCCGATAGGGGCGTATAGGGCGAATCGATACACATTTTGGAGCCTTTTTTTTAATTTTTTTTCGCAACCTGTTCAGGGGGGCCGGTTTAGGTCCCCTCTACCCCCTGAACCGGTCAGACCTATGATACACCCACTGTAGGGGCATATCGGAGGGGTCCCGGAACTATACGTATTGGTCGATACGGGCTGATACGTGTCGATACTTTGAACCATGGATGATATTGACATATTGTTTGTGATTGGTAGTGATACACAAGTAGCTTTGACCCTCGAGAGGTTCCTTAACTCTGAATTTGAGATTAAGGATTTGGGAAATTGAGGTATTTCTTGGGGATTGAAGTTGCTCAATCCAAAGAGGGTGTATTCATCTCCTAGAGGAAGTGTGTGTCCTTTGCTGATACTGATGCAAATCCTACTGATGCCAAGCTTGCTTCTACTCCTACTGATGCAAATCATAGGCTCTTTGCTAATGATGGTGAGTCCTTTGCCAACAGGGGAGTGTTCCGAAGACTTCTAGGGAAGTTGTTGTATCCTTGTATGACACGACCAGACATCTCATATGTCGTGAGTATAATCAGTCAATTTATGCATGTTCCTATAGGTATCCTCTTTGTGCTACTTGAAGGGGACCCAGGAAAGGGTATCCTCTTTGCTAAGAATGGACATATGAAGTTGGCTCATGGGGTTTCAGAGTTGTTGCGGCTTAGGTTCCTTCTAGAAGAAATGGGCATCACATATGATAAGCCCCTAATGTTGTACTGTGATAATCTGCTTGAGGGGGAGTGTAGAGATGATGGGTCGAATGAGCCTTAATCTTCTTTATTTAATTGGTGCTGTTATTAGTGTGTTATATTTCAGTTAGTGGGCCTTAGTTTATTGGGCTACTTTTCTTTCTTTTTATTGTCTATTAAGTAGATTCCCATTTGAGGGCACTCTTGTAATTGTATCTGAAATTTTACAATTAGATTAATAAAAATTATTAGGAGACTGAAGAGAAGATTGTTGAGCTTTCTTCTTTCTTCCCTTTTTCTCTCCTCTTCTCTTCTTCTTCTTCTGAACTCTCTCTCCCTTCTTCCAACATCTCCTATCTTTTAGTTTATTTTCAGAATTGGTGTAGGTGTGATTTACAATTCTAAGTGAAAGTGAACTCCTTTACAGCTGTAAATGAGTCAAAAGATCTAGTTCATGTGTGGACTCAGCCCCTGAGCTCAAATTTTGACTTACAAGCCAACCATGAGCCTCAATCTTAGCTCATTCGGCTAAGTAAGCCTGAGCTGAGCTGTGGTGAGCTTAGATCAGTTTAATCTCACCTCATTTAGACATTATAATATGCATAGAATAAACACAAGTCCTATTATTTATTATCACTAAAATTAGTTGTGAATTTTTGTTTATGGGCTCTGTATTTGGGCTTGAATGGGCATGATATCAAAAAGGTTGAATTAGTCAATCGACCTTGATCCAGGCTTTGGTGAGCCCAGCTTTGATCTTGCCGCCTTAGAACTATCAAGAGTTCAGCCTAGCCTGAGTTCAAGTTTTTCAGTTTGTAGGTTTAGCTGACAAGTGTTGATACTCAAATCCATCATGCCACATTAAGGTGAAAAAGAAGTCTGCCAGATATTGAAGTGGAGACGTGAAATCAAGATGCAATCTGCATGGACCCAATTTGTCCTTGCCCTTCATGTCAATTTTACATTTCCAACTAAGTAGTGCACTTTCTGTGAATGAGAAAAATGTAATGAATTCTCTTTCATGTTTAGTTTAAGACTCTTTGCTTGATATTACCAAAGAAAGGGGAAGTACCATGGTTATTTCCTAGAAATCAGATGTATTCTAGTAATGTCTTGATATTGCTGCTTTACCATTACTTCTGGTTTTTCCTTTATATTTGTTTGATGTACATTTGCTCAGTACGTTATATCTCACTATGAACTATCACTCTGCAGGTTATACATGCAGCGAATGATGTAATTAATAGCATTGACAAAGATGACTTGGCAAAATATTTTTCAGTGAAGAGTGATCCTGAAGATGATGAGGCAGAGGTACATTTGTTTTCCATTTTATGTCTAAGGTTCTGTCAAAGACATTTTGGTATAGGGAAATATTTAGGATTTTTGTTCTGGTAATCTGATAAAACAGCCACCTTTGGTCTAAGAACACAAAGAAAGGAATATAGGCAGTTTTGGATGATGTGAAGAATGCTGAGCACATTATAGCATTTTCCCTAACCTATAGTTGCCTTCAATTATTCTCTTTAGGGTTTATGTTATCCTTGTACTCTGTAACTTATATTGTTCAGTGCTGCTCTTTCCAAGAGAATTCATGTCATGTTTACCACTGGCTTCAATTGTAGAAAATCAAAAAGAAGATGGAAGCAATACGTGACCAGTTAGCAGATGCACTGTACCAAAAGGGATTAGCACTTGCAGAGATTGAATCTTTAAAGGTGGGAATTGCACCATTTCCTGATATCTGGCCATTTATTTATTGTCTTTTCATAAATGATGGTTTTTGACTGACATCTTTCTTTCGTAATTGGTGCTAATTTGGAAATAAGGATGATTTATTGTGGTTAACTAAGAACCTGTGTTATCTGTTCTACATGGTGCAACTCGTATGTTATAGCATCTTTGAATAATTTATTTATGTGTCAGAGCATTCTGGGCCAGCAGCAGAACCTATAGAGGGGCTGAGGCTATCATAATGCACCATTTTTCCCATGTCAGAGACTGGACCCACCACATTCTCAATGCCACCTAACCTATGAATGGGCTGTGTTACCACATAACTTGCTATGTGTCCCATGTTCAGAGACTAGGCCTACCACGTTGTCATTGTTGCCCAAGAGACTTTGTTTGCCAAAATAATCATGAATAGAAGATTTTAACTATCTCTTTGCGGTATTTTGTGAGTTTTTCAAGCTTTAAGAAAACATATTTTCCACTGCCAAAAGTATAAAGGCACGAAGTTGCTTCATCTAATCAAGCCATCTAGGTCTTGTTCATTGCCTTTTCCTTATCCTATACCATTCCATGGATCCTTTTTTGTCAGCCCCAGGACATTGCCTCTAGCAAGGTTCAAAATTTCGCAACATATCGACCGATATTATCGTTCCGTCAAATGTCTGATACACGGAACATATAGAAACCAATTGTCTCGTTCCTTTATGCTTGTATCGAGCTGATATGAGACCGCTTCAGGTCTGTATCGGCTGATATTGACCTAATACAAGTCGATACTCTGATACACGGAACATATAGAAACCAATTGTCTCGTTCCTTTATGCTTGTATCGAGCTGATATGAGACCGATTCAGGTCTGTATCGGCTGATACTGACCTAATACAAGTCGATACTCTAATGTATCAGCCGATACATTGCAAATTAATTACTATCCCTCTCATTAATTACTCTCATTAATCTTCCTTTTATTTTTAATCCTTCTAATTAATTTCTTTCCCTCTCTCATTAATTACTATAATTACATTAATTACTCCCTCCCTCTTTCTCTCTCTTTAATTTTAAGACAAGTTTGTATTTGAATTTTGAATTTGGCATGCTATTCTAATGCCTAATTAACATAATCACAGGTGTAAAAGCTAAAGTAGGCCACAAGAAGATTTGAACCTTGGTCACACTTTTACAATGCCCATACCACACCCAAATCCATTTTGGTGTTCAAATGTTATCCATTTTCATCCTTAAATAAACTTTTTCTTTTTAGTGGATGTTTATTGGGGTATTATAGGACAGGTCACGCCTACGTCTTTTATGTATAAAATATTATATATCACATTTTATATTAAATAACGTATAATATGCATATAATTTTTTTATGCATTATATATTTATATAATATAAAATGTTACACGCCAAGCCTGAACATGAAATCCAACTCCAAACTTGGAATTTCCGAGTTGGGTTGGACTTGGACCGAGATGATCACCCCTAGATGTTTGTTAATAAATGCTAAAATTGATTATTAAAATTTATATATTAACAAATATTGAGACAAATTATTTTGATTTTCTAAAAATCAAGGTATATATGCACAAATTGTAGTTTTTCCATCATTTTTCAACAGTTAACGATTATGTCCCGATCTTTCATACTTCATGTGAACCATTAAAGTAAGGTTTTAATGTTTAAACAACTTATTTATTGTGATATATACCTTGTAGTCTTGTACTTTATTGTTATTACTATATTTTTTAGGATTTATTTGAGTTTCATAGCGTATCCTGATACATTTCTTAAAATTGCCTTTCCAATACTTTAAACCTTGGCCTCTAGTTTTCAAATTAAACTCGTATTCGGAATAAAGGAGCACAAGACCTTGGATTGTGGTGTACTTCCATATTCTTGCTGCAGCATTTTTCTAGTCTCACGGCCAGAAAAGTATTTGGCAATTTGATAAAACAAAGAAGTATCTTTGTTGTCTTTATAGTTTGTAATTTTAGCCTCTCCATCTGGCAGCTGATGCTTTGTTATGGTCCTATTGTCTGAAAATCATTATATAGTTGTGGATCTTGAAAGTTATATCAGTTTTGTAATTTTTACTTTGTAGCATGGTGAGAAGGAATTGAGTGGAACTACAGCAAGCACTGAAGCTTCAGACCAAGCAAGACAGGAATCTGCACCAGACTCTGGTAAGCAGCAAGATCTGTTTGAGGAGAATTTCAAAGAACTAAAGAGATGGGTGGATGTACAGTCCTCCAAGTATGGTATGCTTTCAGTTGTACGTGAGAGGCGTTCTGGAAGGCTTGGAACAGCACTTAAGGTCATTTACACAAGCACCCCTGTTATCTGTTATTATCGTTTAGAACAAAAATGCCAGAGTGATTAAACCATTTGTTTATGTAGTGCCTGTATCTTTCATCCTGCTGCAGGATCATAAATCATTTGATCACCTTTTCTCTTTAAGTTGGGAGGCTTTATGGTTTAGATAGTTTTGCTTGTCTTTTATTGAGATTATTCATTTTATATAGGAAGTGCTATCAGAATTTTAATCTCCTTTTACGGTTTTACCCTAATCTCGTTATAAAATGAACATTGGAACAGGTACTGAATGATATTATTAAAGAAGATGGGGAGGCCCCAAAAAAGAAGCTCTATGATCTGAAGCTCTCTTTGCTCGATGAAATTGGATGGAGCCATGTGGCCTCTTATGAGAGGCAGTGGAATCATGTTCGCTTCCCTCCAAGCTTGCCTCTGTTTTGAAGGGTTCTTCCCTCAGTACTACAAGAATTTGCACATAGGGTCGAACTGAATTGAATGCTTTAATCAGTGAAAGGACTGTGGGTCAGACTTACCATGATTTCTAAAGGGTATCTTCTCTCTGTTTGCAGTTAATAAAAGAATCATGATTTCTAGTGATGAAACATCTTACCATACACATGCATTAACATGCTCGTGTATTGGTTTGGTGGTATATCTGAGGATCTGCGGTGGCTAGAGGATCGTTGGTTCTGTGCTTTTACAGTTGTGCTTGACTCCTTAGGATTTATTTAGGAATATTCACTTCATTGTTTATTTCGGATTGGAAAATGTGTAGTTAAATAAAAATAAAATTTATTTCAGTTGGAGGTTTTACATTGTCTTGGGGAATAGGGGTCTGGAATCAGAATCAGAATGGCCCATTCCCATTCCAACCGTTTGGTTAAGCTGAATTGGAAGTGGAATGGTCACTCCCTCCCTCCCCCTTGCAATCCCATTCCAGATGATTCCAATCCGATTTTGATTCCTGTCTTGAACCAAACAGGCTATGGGAATAAACCATTCTGATTCCAAGTTTCCAACCGTAAACGGACGCTTACATGCTTAACATTATGTCTAGGTTTATTACAATCCCATCACCCCCTTGTGTGGTCTGTCTCCATTGGCGTCTAACTCTGTGTGGCTTAAACAAAGCATAAAACAATTTCTATCATTCGAGCAGAGTGGAGGAATATGATTTGTTCTGCGTCAACCCCACTTGGGTGAACTATAAACGATGATGATGACGATGACATAATGGTTATTTTCAATGTTTTAAGGATCGGATGGAAATGATCAGCCGGAGTTGGGAAATATTTCGATTGGGTTCAACTGATTGTCTGATATAATAAAAAGTAAAAACTCGAATATGGAAATGCTAGTGGAACGTGGAATTCAATGATATTAAGATCTTGTGGTATCGCAATGTATCGACCAAATTGGAAAAGCTGCCATGTATCGATACAAGAAGATACAAATGGAAAGTCCAGGAATACTATATTCAGGGTTCATTCGTCCTTTCTCCTCCCAGTGGAATACCTCCTTCCCCCATTTTTATACCTCCCCCTTTCCAACTGCTAGTTTTCGTTGGTTTACAACATTGAAGTCACCCTTGTCAAATGGTATCCGCTTCTTGTATCAAGTGCAAGATACAAGATGGCTTGTCACCTCCAGTTCCAGGAAATTCTTGGAGCCATAAATCTGCTACCAACAAAATGCTCCCAACAATGTCTCAACGGACCATTGCAGCTGCACACAGGGAACATCTCCCATATCATTCATGGGTAAAAATGTTCTTGATGTACAGTTGCAATGGCTAGTTGGGACATTGTTGATAGTTGACCCAAACTTCATGTTTTGAGCATCGGGCATTAGGAGCTACAATCTGTTTGTTTAAGTCACATCCAATTATTTAATACTGAGCAAATTTTTCAAACTACCTCTAATGTTTAGGAAATTGACTAATTATATCCCTATTGTTTCAATATTGTCTTAAATTTTCCTTACTGTTTCTAACAATTAACTAAATCTTCTTTATTGTCAGTATCCATTAACAGAAGGATTAAAAAGACTCTTGTCCATCATTATTCTTTAAATTTGTAAAATGAATCTTTTGTCGTCCGTGGTTCGTTAAGTAGAGTGTGATGAATCATCAAAACCCCTTGCTTCTACTGGAACCTAGAGTCGGGTCATTGGTGCTATCGCCTATTTGGGTAAGCACCGGACAGCCTGAAGAAGTCGAAGCCTGATGAGACAAGCTTAATAAGTTCGATCCTTCCACCATTTCAAAGATGAGAGTAGAAGAAAGAGGAAAGAGAAAGAGATCCCTGGTTCGTCCTTCCGCCATTTCAAAGATGATACAGGAATAAGAAAGAGAAACAAAGTCAGAGAAACACAAAGAGAATCAATGATTAGCTTGAGACCAGATCGGTCAAGAAATGTAGGAAACCACTCAACGTCTGTCAGAATCTGTTCTCCCAAATGTAGGAAACCACTCGATGGCCTAGTCCTTGCAAACGGTGTTTACCAGTACCGTTCAGGTGATGATGGTTCCTCCTCTACCATTATCACCGTTGTTGTCATCCGTTGGTTTTTGTTGCCGCCATGAGGGACCACAGTAATTTCGAGCATTGTTTTCAAAACCGGATCAGACCGAAAAAACTGGGAACTGGTCACCTGATCGGTTTCGTTTTCCCCCACTCATTATTTTTCCTAAAACTGTTGATTTTGGTCAGAAAACCGCTGAACTGGCCGATTAATCGTTCGAATGGTTTTGACCGTTTTTCAAAATTTTAAAATTTTTTATTCTTTTGTCAGAATGAACCAGCCATTCAAGTTGAATGATCAGACCATTCGAACCGATAACCGGACCCCTGACTGATTCGCTCACCGGTTCGTTTTTAAAAACCATGATTTCGAGGTTAAGATGTCCATGTAAGCTCAAAACCAGAGTCCCACCCCAATCGACACTGGTGGAGGCTAGGCCTGTTCAAGCGGTGGGAGCTTTTATAGCAAATGCTTATCCGTAGCTTCTTAGAGAAATTAAATCCCAGTATGGCAAACAACTGGAAAGTTCGTTGAGAAAAATCCAAGCTGCAGTGGATGATGCTGAGCACAAACAGATTGAAGATCGCTCGGTGAAGATTTGGATGGAAGAGCTTAAGCAGCTGATTTATGATATTGAGGACATATTGGACATGTATATGACTATAGTTGAACGATCTGAACTGAAAGCAAAAAGCAAAGTTGAAACTCACCAGGTACAAAGCTCTTCTCTTTATCATCGTGGTTGTCATCCGTTGGTTTTTTCCAACGTTGCCGCTATAGGGACTACAGCAATTTCGAGGTTAAGATGTCCATGTAAGCAATTCCGTTGTTCTCATCCGAAGACAATGAACGGTGGTAAAAAAATGGAAGAAAAGAAATATGGAAAGGAAAAGGGGAAAATAGGGAGAGAGAGAGAGAGGGGATGGAAGGCTAGCCGTCACTCTTGGTTTGAGTAGAGAAGATGGTGGTGATCTTCATCAGAAAGGGTATTTTGGGTATAATTTAAAATTAAATCAAACACGTGTAAACGGTCTGTGATGGAGACTTAAGGAGAAGGGAGTTGTGCGATAATTGTTAGAAATAGTAGGGGTACTTTAAGACAATACTGAAACACTTCATTGCACGACTAGTGACATTGGATCATTAGTTGTAGATCATCTAGTGGGTGTTTGGCATAGGAGCGTTTCACAAGCGTTCGTTTTTGTTGATGTGTCATTCACACCACATCAGCAAATAAACGGAATCAGTAAGAAAATCGCATTTTGGTAGTCTATTTTTCAAAAAAAAATCATTTTTGCAATGATTAGCTCCGAAGTTCAAGAAAGGAGCGGTTTCTTGAAATGTTAAATTGATGTTTCTTGAATCGCCTTGGTGATGTGGCACATTGAAATTTGAAAAAAAAAATTGACTTCTTATACAATTGTCATTATAAATGGAGCAAATTTCTTAAACTACCCCTATAACCCTATTATTTAACTAATTGACAAATTATACCATTACTGTTTAATTATTGCCTTAAACCACCCTTATTGTTTCTAACAATTGATTAGCTCTACCCCTATCGTTAGCGTCTGCTAATTCTCATCAAAATCTGTAAACATGTCATACCACATGAACTTTAAAATTTTTTAGGATGTTTGTTTTCAGTGTAAATACAAAAATACACTGATGTAAATGAAAAACGACCAAATGTATCATCACAAAAGTTGAATCGGTCAATGTTTAATTTTATACTGTTGTGCGTTTGGAAGATGAGTGTAAATCATGAGAGTATTTTTTTATGTGTGTTCTAGAATTAAAAATGCTTGTAAATTCCAAATTCAACCGTTTTGGAATAAAAGCCCATGTAAAAATTACTGCACAGAACCATGTGCTGACTCTCGAGGAAAAAAAAAACACTTCACACCACCCACCTCTGTACAACAAAAACTACTCCCCACTTCCCTCCTCTCCCCTCTCACACACTTTCTCTCTCCCTCTCTGGCCGGCTCTCGCATGATCGCATCCATGGAGAAACCCAGAATTGAACCAGAAGCTCAAACACCTGCAACCCACAAAATTCTCTCACCCAGCAACAATGGAAGGAGGAGCAGCGCTTCCAACTCGCCTGAGTTCAAGTTCTAGATAGTAAGAAACCTATCCTTCCCACAACCCAACCTCCACTCTACTGACGAATTATTTGTTGATGGCGTTCTGCTCCCGTTCCACCTCCCTTCCCACCACTTGGACCCACTTGACTCAGAACCCAAAGCCAATGCAGAGGAGATGCACACTCCAGAACCCGAATCAGAGCCTGGGCCAAGACTAGAGTCAGCAGCTTTGTTATCCGAGTCACCGCCTATATTTTTGACATTCAAACAATGGGGGGACATTTCCAAGAAGGGTGAAAGGAAAGTGGCAGCCGTGGCATCCTCTACAACCACCAACAATCATGAAGACAGAGACAAAGACGAAGAAAGAAAGGAAAAGTAGCAATGGCGCGAACGCAGCGGAGCTCAACATCAATATATGGCCATTCTCCAGGAGACGTTCGGCTGGGAATAGCTGCAACTGGCCAAAGATGGCCGCTAGAGGAGCGGCTTCTCGGAAGGTTAGTAGCACCCCTTATTCACGTAGTAACTCAGCTGGGGAGTGCAAGTTCCAAAAATGGCCAAGTAGTCCTAGTCGAGGTGGAATCCATGTTGGGAGGAGTAGCCTAGTTTGGCAAGTACGACGTGGAGGCTCCAATGCAAGAAGCTCTGAGCCTTTGGCTTGGAATGCCGATAAGGGGGTAAAGAAAGAAGGATTAGAGAGTCAATGGAGCAAGAATGTTGGTGGTGGTGGAGCCAGAGCTAGGGTTTTGAATTTGAATGTTTCGATGTGTATAGGGTACCATTCCCATTTGAGTTGCAGGAATGATGCGAGTAGCGCCATTGGTAATGGTTGTAGTCATGAACAGGGCCGCGATGTAGCTAGCTCTAGATCTGGTACCTTCTGTTCGTTGCGAGATGGGGATGATGACAACCTGAGAGCGTCCTCTATGTTCTGAGATTAGGGCATTCGAATCTGTGAAAAACGGTGAGAAAAGAAGAGAAAGAGTGAGAGAAAGGGAGGGTGTGGAAGAGAAGGGGTGACCAGCAGAACAACGGTGAGGGTGCTAGCGAAGTGCTTGATGGTGAGAGAGAGGATCAGAGGAGACGAAGAGTCGTTGGCTGATTCGGAGTTTTTACACCTTGTTTACTTTGATGGAGTTTTACATCGATGATCGAAGTAAAAAAAAAAAATTGAAAATCACTTTTACACCGAATT